ACAAAGCCTTTTGACATTTATATCATCGATCAGTACCTTAGCCATCCCGATGATTCAGTACCCGCCCCCCGGGTTGAATTTAACGCAGGTTTAGACGCCTGTTCAGGCGTTAACTCCGGCGCACGTGCCAGTCTTCAATATAAAGCTTCTGAACATAAACAATACAGTTCATATTCATTTAGATGCCTTGCGATCTCGAAATTCAGAAGCACATCGTACATTAAAAAGTATAGAAGTTCAATTGTTCAAAAATGTAAATAAAGCGCATGATACATTCGCTTTGTCTTACACTTTGCCTTTGGAATTTGCGCTTATATAATTATATTAAATCTTCAATCCTGTGCAACTGACTACGAGATGTCAACGCGCTCATACACGACCACGTCATGTTAAATGGCGAAATAGCAGCGATATTATTAAAATAGGACCAGAATCTACATGCATTAAACATATTCTAGATCTTATAAAAAAAAACCGAGGCGAATTTTCAACTCCGTCGCTGGCGCCGGAGTAATAAACTCACATGTGGATTTGGAACCTGTGAAATTTCACATGTGAATTTATGTGAAGGAGCCTGTGAAATTTCACATGTGGATTTATGTGAAGGAGCCTGTGAAATTTCACATGTGGATTTGGAATCTGTGAAATTTCGCGGGACAAATCGTCAGGCTTGGCTACGCTACTGGCTAAATACATATATAAAATAGCCAGCCTGATGATTTGTCTCCCTATGCTAATATTTTGGTGTTCATTCACTGTGAAAACTATAAATTTTTAAGGAAATGAATTAATTTCACCAATGACTGAATTAATTCAAAAGCGTGCTATGCGCATTCGTGTTTATCCTAATAAGTGCATCTTAAAGATGAAATATCTAACAGCTCGAGAGTTGGACCCACCTATGCCGTAATGCATGTCCGTACCCTTATGCAACTGAGCTCTCATATCTACTTCTGGAGGTATTATTATAATATTATTGGTTCTTTTTTGAGGAGAAAGAGTTTTCTAAGCTGGCCTAACTTTCCAAGCCTGATATTTCATTTTCAATAATTTTTCGTACATATAATGCTTAGGTACTTTTACTTCCGCTCTTTGAACTAATCTTCGTTTGGCATAAAGATAGAGCTTTAAATAAATAGTTATTGATATATTATTGTCTTCTTTTTAGTGAATGCCATATCGCCAATACCATTTTACCGGTCTCGGATAAACAGTAAGTAAACTAGACAAGTATAAGAAAATAAATATCATACATAGATATTGTTACCTCAATCATTTGCGAAGATAGATTGAAAAACCTGGTGCACATATGAGAATGCTTCCAGTAACGTACTTCTTAACAAGGGCATTATGCCTCTCTCCATAACATGACCAATAAAATTGGATGCAGCGAAGCCCGAACATTTTTTTGGTTCAAAAGCATTCTTCAACGAAGAAATAACTAAATCATAACTTCAAATTATTTAAGCAAAACCCATTCAGACTATTCAAAACGACACAAATACGTCTGTTCAACGTACTATTATTTTCTATAGTCTATATAGCGCCCACAAAGTGCCTACAGTGCCACACGCGCGTTTCTATGAAACGTAAACACGCGCGTGTTAATTCTGTGTTTCTATTGATAACTCAAACTGACTATTTTCCTTTTCCAAATTTCATACGCATGTTTCTATTGTTGTATAGAAACTCGGCAAATATTTTCGATATCTTTAATAAGTTTTTATTCCATTTTTTCGTCACACTTGTTTTTATTCTCTCCAGGTAGTAACTACGGCACTCACTTCATTGTTGGATTTACGCCACATTATAGGAGAGATTCCAACGACTATATTGGTGTCTCAATTCTAGCTCTTAACGAAACAAATGTAACGATCTTTAGCAATCAGGGCAGTCAACCATGGAAATATACTTTTCACATTAATCAAGGAGGAATTTTTGAATATAAACTACCGATTACTCTGCAAATGCACAAATCCTCATATCTGCAGAAAGGTATTGAGATTTCCTCTTCCGCAGATATTTCAGTGCTGTGTTTGAACTATGATAGTTATTATACTAGCTACGCTGCAGACGGAAATTTGGCATTACCAACCAAAATTCTGGGTTCCGTTTATGTTGTGGCGTCATATCGACCATATAGCTCGAGCTATAGGGCAAATATCGCTGTGATATCAGGACACGACAATAACAAAATTTTTGTTCTTTCCAACAAGAATGCAATTGTATACTATCGAGGACTCTGGTATAATGGCCAAGCGTCAAAACTTTGCATCACTCAAGTCCTTGAAAAGCTTGATGCGCTATACCTCTCTGGGACAACTGACTTATCTGGGACACTTGTTTATTCAAGCAAACCAGTAACAGTAATATCTGGCGTGGAGAGCCCTCGTATTGTTTCTTTTCGGGATTTCCTTGAAACGAATTTACTTCCTGTATCATTGTGGGGATATGAATACCTTTTGACACCAGTGGGAACGATGGATAAAACACAGGGAAATATTTTCCGAATCTTTGCGTATGAGAACAATACCAGTGTTGAAGGACCATATTGGACAAAGGTTTTGTCATCACAGATGTACACGGAATTATTATTAGAAAAGAATTTAGCGTCATATATCAAGTGTAGCAAGCCATGCCAGGTCGTGCAATACATCAGAGGAGAGGAAATTAGTGGGAAATATGCGGAACCTTCAATGATGGTTCTACCATCTGTAAGTCAGTTTCTTTCTTATTATCACGTGGCACTGCCATTTGGCTCGGAGTATCACGATTCAATAACAATAGTTATACAAAATGAGGATGTGGACGGCTTGTATATGGATGGAGTAAAACTGATTGGCTTACGATGGGAAAGAATCAGTGGAACAAATTATGTTTGGACTGTAGCAAGTTTATTCGATCCAAGTTCAGTTACAGTGTATCATGCTTCGTCTTCCGTGAAGTTTGGTCTTCTTGTGTTTGGGTGGAATAAACTTGCCTCTTATGCCTACGCTGGTGGTTTAGATTTTGATAACAGAACAAATAGTAAGTTTCCTTCCTCCTCAACATTCAAAATTTATGTTAAGAAATTTCATTGAAAATGTTATCTGTTATATAGTGTATTGTCAGTTACATGATGATATAGACCTATAATATAGGGCTGCTTGTTTGATGGCGAGTTTAATTTAACCCAGGGTTTGTTCTCAACTTTCATTAAAAATTCACAATTAACCCTGGCTTACTTTAACCTGACTTAAAACTTTGTCGACTGTCGTTGAAGCTATCGTTAAAACTGTATCGCGAAAGTTGTCTTCGCGCTAGTGCCCATGCAAATTATGGTATTTGCAGTTTTTTTGATACAACCTGTAGTAAATAAACTAATCTTTATTCAACCAAAGACCGAACAAATTCAAAAGCGTGTTAAGCGGCCCTTGTGTTTATGCTATAATAATGCAAATTACACATGTACGACCTAACATCTTCTGAGTACGAGTATATATGGGGCCCGCCCACTCCGTAAAATTAATATTGATTGGTCTCAAAAGCAATGTGGTTCTGATGTCCACTTAGTTCCGGAGGCATTACTAATTGCTGCCGCAGCGAGCGAGCCTGAAGCGAGCGAGCAAGGCAGCAGATCCTAATTTAGAATTGGGGGCGCAAATCAAAATTTGTCTTTGGCGCATTGCATGACGGTACCAGTGGCAGGGATGGAGGAACATATTTTATTTTGGGGGTGGCTGAATTTAAGTTCCGGCCATAGTTGACACGCTGAAAGCATATGTCATGTAGCGTGAGCGAGAAATAATTTACATTCACCTGAACACAATGTAGGATATTTCTTTTGTATTTTAGCAGGCGAACAGCAATTTGACGACCTTATTGTTACACGTTTGTGAGATTCTTTCATGTATTTTGGGGAGGGCTACGATTTTTACCTTGCGCGGTGCGGTGCGTGATACAGCAATTTGACGACCTTATTGTTACACGTTTGTGAAATTCTTTCATGTATTTTGGGGAGGGCTACGATTTTCACCTTGCGCGGTGCGGTGCGTGATACGACGTGTATGGTATGTTAATTTATATTGTGAACAAGACGCCAATTTCAGGCGGTTACTGCGTCGCGCCAATCGTTGCATGCAACTGTGCCCCATTTCCTGTCAATATTTATTCCTTTAGAAAAATGTTTCTTTCTTAGGGTTTCTAGTAAATATAGCACTTCGTACAGAATATAGGGGTAAAACTGCATTATTGGTGCTAGGCATATGTAGCTAACGATATACGTGAATAAGGCTGAGTTTGGAATCATGTACTCTAGGAATCAGTTTGTACTAAAATTCAATAGGATCGGTCTGGCCGTTTTTACCCCCGAAAGGAAGGTGCGCTTTGATTGAGAAATGGCATAGAATGGCATACAAGGCTTTCATAGCATACAAGGCTTTCATGGCATACAAGGCTTTCATGATTCATGTGATCGTTGTCTGTAAACCCGTTTTAGTGTAGGTTTACCATGATCAGTGTGTACTAGTGTATGCAGAGTGAGCATATCAAACAAGACAAGACGAGAATCCAGCATTATGATTACCTGTACGTATTTTCTCGAAGGACAGACGTCTAGATTCGTCTAGATTTCCTGCGCTATCGGCCATGCACAGCGACTCGTGTACGTGTTATTTTATATGACGTGTATCGTGCATGCAGTTTCCTGCTTTTGGTTCGCACGACCCGAGTTCGAATCCCGGCCACAAAAAAACTTTTTTCAATTTTTATTTCAGTAAAATATTTCTTTTGTGGGGGTTACTAGGCTTAGACTACTATTTGAAGTGTGTTTAGCACGAAAATATTTCGATACGAAATCAAACGAGTTCAAAATACGAGTATCTTAGTTGGCCTGCGCGGCCAGGAAGACCGGGTCGAAAACGTAAAAAACACAAAAAAAACCCAAAAAAACACCGACGGCAATTCAAGACTGCGTTCGCGCAGTGTGCGACGCAGTAATAAAGGTGAAAACGTGCTTTGGAGCATTGTATTAGCGTATTAGGGTGCCAGTAGATTTTCGATATAAACGAAACATAATACTCTTGTCACCTGCGGTGAAAATTTTTGACGCATTGTAGTCGTCATGCAATGAAAACATTAAACTTTTAGAAGAACAGAAATCATAACCACCGTAAAATTTTTTACGTTCAAGAAGAGATTGGAAATATAAAATATAGTACAAAGTGCTTAGCCTCAGCTTATCATTATTTAAGGAAAATGACAAAAACAATATTGTTCCAGAACAGAAATGTTCTACGAAACCTATCAATAAATTGCTTTTTATGCAACGGAGCCCCCAACAGAACTTAAATTTGTCAATTATGTTTTTAAATCACTCGATATAGTTATTAAAACGTTATGAAAATGCTGTTTCTGTGAAGCGCAGTTCTTCCGTGTCAATCATCTTTTGCTGTAACGGATACGACGAATCCAATGAGATACAAAAACAAACATGAAATAAACTTTTGATGACCTAGTGAGTGTCTTAACAAGACACAAAAATGAGGCGCAAATACAGCACCAAAACAGAAGAGTCAGCAACTGATGACAGATGACTGACAAAAATCAATGCATTCAATTACTGATGCAACTGAGAACAAAGACTCGATTATATAACAAGAGTTGAAGCCTCACCTTCGGACCAAAATATCAACCTGGAAAATATAAATGAACAGTTAATAAACGCCGCGCGCTAAACAAACAAAACAGACGCAATTTTTAACGATACATTCAATGATCGCTCAAATAAATGCACTATCCCAGTATTTAAGTCATAATTCGGCATAAAAGGCTAAAAGCCCATGGTGAAGTATATCGTTTAACAATATGAATAAAATATCGAATAAATAGGAACTCGACAGTAAAAAACTCACCAAAATATCTTATACCTCACCGAAATAGTTTTCCTTCTTCGAAATAAGTTCGCCAAAGTTTATGCAGCCAACACGTGGAATGGTATAACCTGACACCGAACTCCAACATGCGGCTTACTCACAGGCAGCACTCCCTACCCTATGGGTACCCTAGTACTAGGTTTCTTTTCAAGGAGACTGAGAAAGATAACTTTTGAAGCCGAATATTTTGTTTTTCATAATTTCTCGTATCTTTGTTTGGTATAAGAATTTTTCCACTCAAGTATACGTTAAATTAATCGTTAAATATATAGTATTGTCCTTTTTAGTGAAAGCCGTATCATCTGTGCCATCTTTCCAGTCCAGGAAAAACAGTAAGTAAATTAGAGACGTACGAAAATAGATATTTTAGCCAGTTTACCTTCTTCAATAATTTTTGAGGGGATTGAAAAATCTCGTAAAAGTATTCTTTGCAATGGGAATTAAAGAAAGCAATATATATTATGAGATATTAAACAGTTGCGGGAAGATTTTGAATTTATGTTTGTGTGTCAGGAAACAATAACTAACGAGCGAGAAATTGTTACCGGAAGAACATACAGTAGCGTGAGTTGAATATTGGCTGATATCCGTTGTATAACGAGTTGGCTCATAAGCCGGAAATAACGAAAGAAACTGGTTTACGACGTAATTGTTCAAACAAAGTCTAAGGCTACCACAACCAGCTTTCAAAATATATAAATTAATGACGTATTTGCAAAATTCAATCGCGATTGTGTATTTCAAAGCATTCGCCGCGTTTAAAGTACCCTGGTGTAATTAGTTGGATATTACATAATAAATTATTTGTTTGGAACAGTTTGTTGAGTTCCTTTGGTAGTGAATGCGTATATGTTCAATAACTTCCATAATTTTTTTTTCATACCAGTTTTTTTATTTTCTTTAGGCAGTAACTACGGCACTCATTTCATTATTGGATTTACGCCGCATTATAAGACAGATTCCAACGACTTCATAGGTGTCTCAATTCTGGCTGTTGACGAAACAAATGTAACGATCTTTAGCAATCAGGGTAGTCAACCATGGAATTATACTGTACAGATTGATGAAGGAGAAATTTTTGAGTATAAACTACCGATTGCTTTGCAATTGCGCAAATCCTCATCCCTTCAGAAAGGTATTGAGATATCATCTTCCGGATATATTTCAGTGCTGTGTTTGAACAACGATCGTTATTATGACAACTACGCTGCGGACGGAAATTTGGCATTACCAACAAACACTCTGGGTGTAGTTTATGTTGTGGCGTCATATCGACCATATAGTTCGGACTATAGGGCAAATATCGCTGTAATATCAGCGCATGACAATAATAGAATTTTTGTTCTTCCCAACAAGAATGCAGTTGTATACTATCGAGGACTCTGGTATAATGGCCGAACATCAAAACCTTACTTCACTCAAGTCCTTGAAAAGCTTGACGCGCTATACCTCTCTGGAACAACTGACTTATCTGGAACACTCGTTATTTCAAGCAAACCAGTAACGGTAATATCTGGCGTGGAGCGTCCTGGTATTGCTGCATGGCGGGATTTCTTTGAAACGAATTTACTACCCGTATCATTGTGGGGATATGAATACATTTTGACACCAGTGGGAACAATGGATAAAACACAGGGAAATATTTTCCGAATCTTTGCGTATGAGAACAATACCAGTGTTCAAGGACCATATTGGACAAAGGTTTTGTCATCACAGATGTACACGGAATTATTATTAGAAAAGAATTTAGCGTCGTATATCAAGTGTAGCAAGCCATGTCAGGTCGTGCAATACATCAGAGGAGAGGAAATTGGTGGGAAAAATGCCGAACCTTCAATGATGGTTCTACCATCTGTTGGTCAGTTTCTTTCCTATTATCATGTTGCACTGCCTTTTGGCTCAGCATATCACGATTCAATAACAATAATTATACAAAATGAAGATGTCGACGGTTTGTATATGAATGGAGTAAAACTTAATGGCTTAAGATGGGAAAGAATCAATGGTACAAAATATGTTTGGACTGTAATAAGTTTATCAGATCCAAGTACGGTTACAGTGTATCATGCTTCGTCTTCTGTGAAGTTTGGTCTTCTTGTATTTGGGTGGGATAACTATGCCTCTTACGCGTACGCTGGTGGTTTGGATTTAGCTAACAGATCTAATAGTAAGTTTCACATTTTTTCTCTCCTCTACAACATAGATTAAAAGAAATCATTGAAAATTTGCCCCAAAAGATTGATAGATATTTATATCGCTATGGTAACCATTTTGACGTTTGATCCTAGCTGGAGCTGGTTGGGGGTGGGAGCACCGTGCGAGCTAGGGTACTATAATTTCGCCAGAAGATTAGGAATTACACCCGGGTATTGTAATGTACCATAGCGGAATCCAAAGTTGTCCAAATTTTAAGCGATGGACGTCGGATGGTTTTGTTAGTTATGGGCATGGGCGAAATTTAATTGAGTGGATCTTACTGATTGGCTGAATCAGATATTTGTATTTCGAAAATAAAGTCAGCAATGTAAGTGCACATTCGCAAACTTTTTTGTAAAACTGTTTTTAAAAATTTCGCCAAATAAGATAGAAATAAATAACAGATACAATTGAGATGATCACGAAACGTAATTTATCAAAAACAAAAAAGTTCCTCTGCAAGATTAAAAAGCGAAAAAGAAACGATTTATACTCTATATAAGGCTTTAAAATGTTTTAAACCGGTACGTGTTTATAGCATGGTTGTTTATAATTTTCTTTTAAAATCAAAGCTTTTACATTCAACGACAAATATATTTGCCGGTTCTGTAATGGAAGATTTTGCTCTGTTTTGATGTTTTTCTGAAACCTTAAAATGTTGAAATTTCAACAGTTACCTAAGCTGGGAAGGTCTTTGAAAGCCTGGTCTATGTTTATTACAATATTTTTGGCTCAGTCAGTGTCAACGCTTTGCCATTGAGTCGTTTTATAATATAAACTTATCGTTATAGCTAATCTAGGATTATTTTCTTTGTTGCATGCTGCATGCATATATTTCTAGTAAGTAATAAATCTGGGTTAAAATGTTTGAAAATATTATTTTCATCTATCCTAAAACGGTTTACTGAAAGCAGAGATAGCGGTAGGGTAAGATAACCCAGAGTAGAATTTGGGGTAAAAGATCTAACCCGAGACTAGAAATACAAACATGCATAACCCCTCACCTATTTCGAGCAATTCAAATTAGAGTAATGTAGTAAAGAGTTGTGAAATAGAATTCATCGTCTGAATGCATGCAACGTTAACAAGGATATTTTTATTCAAGATAGTGCAAGAATTACCTATTTCGTGCTCATAACTAGTGATTAGGTAAAATCCTTTACCAATGGACCACTTGCGCTTTAGACTAACTTTTGATCGAAGTAATAAGAAGAAAATAAATCACCACAGCTAGAAAGAGCGTACTCAAATTAGTGCAAATGCGAAGTTTGGCTGCGAAATCTTGTAAAATACGGAAAATATAGCCATGCGAAGTTGGCAAATTTTGTATACTTTTGTATTACGTGCGGAAATGTGTAACTAAATTAGTTACAAAATTTCGGCCGTAATACAAAAGTATACAAAAATCGACAACTTCGCATGGCTATATCTTCCGTAATTTACAACAATTTTGAGCCAAACTTGGCATTTTTACTAATTTTAGTATGGTCTTTCAGAAAATGTCCTTTTTAAAGCCGAGGTAAGAAATTTGTCTAAGGCGCAAGTCGTCCATTACCTCGAGCAATCTTGTCAATCAATTCAATTGTAAACCTGCCACGAAGAGTTTGAAAGACTTTTAGCGACATTTCAACCTTATCTCAAACAGATACTGAACCTTTCAACTTAGCTTTGATATTTTGATTTAAACTAAATTATTGATAAATAACTTCATAAAACATTTTTTAATCTTCATTTAAAGCATCAGAAAAGGAAAACAAGGGGTGATTAAGAATTGATTTAGAAAATATTAAGTATTTTCGTTTTATCATATTCCAAATTAAAGAGAATTAAGAGGGTTTACATGCAACGGCTTCTGCGCATCGGTTCTGCTCATAACATTTGGGGGACTCCATAGGCTTAAGAAATTGCTCAAATTTCGCATGGTTAGTTAGAATTTCTTTTAACATAAACTCAATATTTTATTCATTTAGAAATATAGTGAACAGAAATGATAAAAAATATTCCTACGGGACAGGATATTTTAAGAGATGTAGCGATTCAATATGTAAACAAAGCCTTTGTTTACATTAGCGACTGTAACCCGCCTTTAAGACCCGCCAGAGCTAGGGAATTCTTCTTAATGATTATTATTTTTACCCAGATGTGATTGCTTTATCACCAGTGCCATCTTACCAGTCAAGGATAAAGGGTAAGTTATAATAAAGGAATAATATAGTTATTCTTCATTTTATTTTATATAACACCTTATTGATTTAATGTGTTTTAATTGCAACCTGGCATTAAATGAAACTTTCTATTTTACATTTTTACCGACCGTGCAATGGAAGTCTTAATTGACCTTTCTAGCCGCCCAATTATTTCTTCCTTCGCACCGTGTCACTGCTCACTGCGTCAAAATCGGTTTGGTGAAAACGCTGCCCACTGCAGACTGTGGACTCTAGAGTGTTCTCTTCACTTATAGCAAAATATTGAGTGCTTTGGTTGTGGAAGCATATTAATTGTCGCATCACTGCGTATGCCTATCCCGCATGCTCAAAACACCGATCAAAATACGTCTATTATTACTTATGAGAATTTTGTTTAAGATCAAGTGGAGAGGGATCATTATTCCAATAGACCGTACACTAAAGCTAGAAAAAGGTTAAATTATTCGCAAATAGTAAATTAAAATTCAGAAATTTTTTGATTCGTGGATTCGTTTTCATTTATATTCCTTCTTTTTTTAAAACTTATTTTCATACCAAGATGTGATAGAAAATACCTCACTTGAAAATCGTGTCCTAAAAAGAATATTATATTTAACAATTATGTTCGTACAATACGGGTTAAATAGTACTCGTGATGTTTGTATTCGCAGACCATGCACGATTACTCTCTGTACAATATACTATAATCGTTCATATTTCTTTCCAGGTGTTCTAAATAATTATGGAAAGCACTTCATTATCGGATTTACAGCACAATATGTATCACATGATCAAAGGACCGGTTTCATTGGTTTGACAATATTCGCACCGTACGGAGCAAACATGACAATATTAAGCAAACATCCAAGTGCATCATTGAACTTTACAACCAATATCAAATTAGGACAAACATTCGAATACAAATTACCGATAGCTCTGCGAATGAACGGGACTGGAAAACAAATGAAGGGTATTGAAATTGTGTCAACGAGGAACATTTCGGTTTCATGTGTTAATCACGAGAGGCGTACTGCAGACGCGTATCTCGCTCTACCAGTAAGCGCATTGGGTTTATCTTATGTGGTTGCAACGTACTCGCGTGGGAACATAGGCATAATATCCGCCTTTGATGATAACGAAATCACACTTTTACTCGTAAAAGACCGTGTTTTAAGTTACAATGGTTTTTCGTACGATGAAAGTTTATCGCTTATATACGCAAAAGTCGTTTTAAAGAAGCTCGAGGCTCTGCATATTTATAGTGAGGCCGATTTGTCTGGATCTATTATTATCTCTAGTAAACCTGTGTCTGTCATTTCGGGCTCCAACATCGCAAAACCATCTGGTTCTCAAGGGGGATCTGATATACTGGAATCATTCTTGTTGCCCACTCATTTCTGGGGAAAACGGTACATCCTGAGCACTTTTGGAACGATTGAAAAGAAAAAGGGAGATATTTTCCGCATTTTTGCTCACGAAAAAAATACTGTTGTGCAAAGTGCTTACTGGACGAAGGTTTTGTCGCCTGGGACATACACGGAATTGGATCTAGAAGCAAACCCCGCGTCGTTTGTCAACTGCGATAAACCATGCCAGGTTGTTCAATACATCAGAGGCGAGTTGATTCACGGGGAAGAAGCTGATCCTTCAATGATAGTTCTGCCATCAGTAAGCCAGTTCCAGTCCTACTACCGTGTTGTGTTTCCTTTTGGTTCTGAATATCACGATTCAGTTTCCATAGTAATAGAAAATGAATACAGAAAAGAATTGTACGTTGACGGTATGAAAATTAACAGCGATGGTTGGAAGGAAATCAATGGAACAAAATATGTTTGGAAAGTATTGAATTTTGCTGACTATGAAAGTGTCACAATATACCATTCTTCTTCTGCAGTAAAGTTTGGCCTGCTTGCATTTGGTTGGGATAATCGTGTTTCCTATGCTTACCCTGCTGGAGTGGTTCTCTCAAATATTTTAAACGGTAAGTCTTACAGCTATGTTTGCGCTGTCAAAGAGAAAGGATATAAAATTAGTTACTGGAATCGAGATATTATATTTCTTTTGTACGTCACACAGTTTGCTAGTATTAATGACTTACTAAATACTCCAAAAGATTTAAAATATTGAAAGCGTAGTTATGAGTACAGAAAATGCAGCTTTTCTCGAGATTTCTAAAAGTCCTATAGAATTATACCTAGTGATACTGTATGCATGCAAGCATACATTAATTTTTGAAACTATCAATGTTTTTTCCAAAAATAGTATTCAAATATTCTATACGCTAATATATATGCTTTCTAACGCCATATAAAGTATGATTGTTTATAAAAACATAATTCCTTGCTGGTCCTGTTCATCTAATGATTCCAGGAAATGGCGAATTACCAAGATGTTTCTCTCTCCTTAGATAAGACTCCATTTTTATCACCAGTGCCAACGTACATGTCGCGGTTCATAGGTGAGTAGCTATATGTACATAATAGCGACCCATTTAGTTATTAAAATGTATACTTTAATCATTTATGGGGCAGAGTGGATGCACCATTACGTCTTATTACTATCAAAAGTGCAATTTCCATGTATAAAAGTTAACTTTTAACTGTAGTTTACAGAATTGGCCAATCAGAGTTGTGCATTTCAGAGTTAACTAGGATTTAACTGGGCAGAGCGTAGCCCCAGATAGGTAAATTAGACAGTACTCATTCCTGTGATTTTTTAGGCTTCTTATATTCTCGAACCAATTATTAACAGATATAAAAGACCAGGTTAGGTCATACATAGATTTCTAATACTCGATCGACTGAAAAAATGTTTATTTAAGCTGTTTACATTCTACCAAGGTGATCAAAACAGCTATGGAAAGCATTTCATCATTGGATTTACATCACAATATCAGAGGCACCAAACCGACTATATAGGAGTATCCATCCTTGCTCTTGGCGCAGCAGATGTGACGATCTTTAGCAACCAGACTGGCCAGCCTTGGAATTACACCGTACACATTAATGAAGGAGGGATTTTTGACTATAAACTTCCGATTAGTCTGCAAATTCACAATTCAACACTCGTTCAGAAAGGTATTGAGATTTCATCTTCGGAAGATATTTCAGTGTTGTGTGTAAACTTCGATGGTTATAGCAAAGCGGCGGATGCAAACCTTGCGTTAGCAACCAACACTCTTGGTTTAGTTTATGTTGTGGCGTCCTATCGACCATATAGCTCGAACTATAGGGCAAATATCGCTGTAATATCAGCACACGACAACAACACGATAAATATTCTTCTGAACAAAAATGTAGCTGTATATTATCGCGGCAAGTGGTATGTGGCGCGAATATCACAAATATACATAACCGAAGTTCTGGAAAAGCTTGAAGCGCTCTACCTCTCTAGTAAATCAGATTTATCTGGAACACTCGTTATTGCAAGCAAACCAGTGTCTGTGATATCTGGCGTAGAGCGTCTTGGTATTCTAGGATGGTACGATTTCGTTGAAACGACCATGCTGCCATTATATTTGTGGGATATAGATACATACTGACACCAGTAGGAGCTATGTATAAAACACACGCAAACATTTTTCGAATTTTTGCTTATGAAAACGATACGGTTGTTGTAAGCCCGTACTGGACAAAGGTCTTGTCATCAGGGAATTACACAGAATTTACGTTAGAGAAGAATTTGGCTTCGTTTATAAAGTGTAGCAAGCCGTGTCAGGTTGTGCAATTCGCTGAACCTTCAATGATGGTACTTCCATCAGTGAAGGAGTTTCTTTCTTATTATCACGTGGCACTGCCTTTTGGCTCAGCATATCACGATTCAATAACAATAGTTATAGAGAGTGAAAATATCGAAGGTTTGTATATGAATGGAATAAAACTTAGTGGCCTACGATGGGAAAGAATCAATGGGACAAAGTATGTATGGACAGTAATAGGTTTATCCGATCCAAACACTGTTACAGTGTATCATATGTCTTTCTCTGTCAAGTTTGGTCTTTTTGTATATGGGTGGAAAGATGGGGCTTCCTATGCTTATTCTGGTGGCGTTGGTTCTCGCAATCAATCAAATGGTAAGCACTCTTTATGAACTCACATATCTGAATTCGTGCATGCCTATCATATCATGTATTTGTGAACGTGGATACAGCGGGAATGGCATATTTTGTAGGGTTTTTTCACCATTACTCGTGTAAGCCGTCGCGTTAATTGGGACGCATGAATGCATTCAATGCGGACAAAAATATCTCTGTCGGGAATTTCAGAAAACAGAAATTTACGTACGTTTAGTTAAGTGCCGTTCGACTATACGCATTACAATTACACCAATGCAGGGAAATTAAAAATATGATGCGGAATATACTTTCTAAATTTTTTATGAAGATTTTTTATCAAATTTTTTTAGATATTAATGAATGTGCGATGGGAACAGAAAATTGTAGTAAACAAGCGTCATGTATCAATGTCTATGGGTCGTTTCACTGTTTGTGCAACCTCGGCTTTACCGGAAATGGTGTAACATGTACAGGTATCAACATGTACAGGACTCTTGCCAGAATGATCTATTTTGATAGTAATTCTTACGCTTATTTGAACATGAACAAAGAACGGAACCCCTCCAATCAACTTCGGGCCTGCGTAGGCTGAAACACGAAAGTAGTGGCAATTTGTAAGTGCATTAATTAAGTCTTGAGAGATGTTTTATTTCAGATTTAGACGAATGTGAAATCAAAACTGACAACTGTAATATTCAAGCATCGTGCACCAACGTCGTTGGATCGTTTAATTGTGTTTGTCAAGCTGGCTTTACTGGAGATGGAGTAAATTGTACAGGTGTTATTTTAAAGGAAATAATCTTATCAACAATATAATTATACGTACTAAAATGATACATACCTTCACTATTTCAAGCTAAGCGAATCATTTCTTGTGCTAGCCAGATCTAAGCTCATAATATGAAATGAGACAAATGAGTCATTATAATACTTCTATTTATATTCATTGAGTGCAAAAATAGTCACAATGGTTGAGATAGCCATGTATAGAAAGCATGCAGTAAAAGAGCTTTCACGTGCTTAAGTAACGGTTAAAAGTCAAATCTAATTCCTCTTTCACTGGTTAGTTTTGTTCTCTTCTTAATATATTTCTCAAATTATTTCTCTGATTCTCAAACATTGGGCCCTATAACCACTTACCTGGATCCCAAGCTTTATTGTAGGAAATGATGCGCCAATCGTTTTAGACGGTCAATCGTTTGGGTTAAGTTATTCTTTGTTCTTGCTTTCGTCAACATTCTAATATCAAATTTATGTGCTTTTTAACAACTGATGGTGGAATTTCGCTTTAAACTACCCAGTGTACATTTTTCTGGCTTAAATAAGCCAATTCAGAATACCTCAATTTTTAATTCTTCGTGTGAAATAGTAAATAATGTAGCTACATTTTTGCCGGAAGAGTGAAAATTTATACATTCTGATTGGGTAGCTGAAAATGTAAACAAACTCTCTGATTGGTCTAAAACGAAAGTCCACTTTGTGCTTTCTTATATAGATATCGACGAGTGCAACTTGAAACGTGATAATTGTTCCAATACTAATGCGACATGTTTAAATTCTCCTGGTTCTTTATTTGTACTTGTAAAAGTGGATACAGCGGGAATGGCATATATTGTAGAGGTATGTGGCATATTTTACTCTTTATTGCAAGGTTGGTTTAATTTCAGCATCACTCGTGCAAGCTGTCGCGTTGCATGGGACGCGTGGAATTTATGCATTCTGGACAAAAGATTACTCTTTCATGCAGGAATTTCAGAAAACAGAAATTTACACGTACCACAATTACATTAATATAAGGAAATTGGAAATATGATGAGGAATATATTTATAAATTTATTAAAAATTTTTAGATATTGATGAATGCGCCATGGGAACAGACAATTGTAGCAAACAAGCATCATGTATTAATACCAATGGGTCGTTTAACTGTTTGTGCAACGTCGGCTATACCGGGAATGGTGTAACATGTACAGGTATATGATATAAGAAATCAACATTATTCCCACCAGAATGAAATTATTTTGATAATAATTATTTTACGCCTATTTGAACAGGAACATAGAATGGGACCCCCTGTTTTATTTCAGATTTAGACGAATGTCAAATCAATACTGACAACTGCAGTATTCAAGCATCATGTACCAACGTCGTTGGATCGTTTTATTGCGTTTGTCAAGCTGGCTTTACCGGAGATGGAGTAAATTGTACAGGTGTGATTTCAAAAGAAATAATTTTATCAACAATATATACGTACTATAATAATTATTATACATACCTTCACTATTTAAATCAAGCGAATCATTTCTTGTGCTAGCCAGATCTAAGCTCATAATATGAAATGCGACAAATGAGTCACTATAGCTATAATATTTCTATTCATTCGGTGCAAAAATAGTCATAAAGGTGGTGATAACCTCACCCGTTTTTCTACTTGCATGCATGTACAGATCTAGAATTCAGTAAAAAGGCTTTCGCAAGCTTAAGTAACGGTTAAAAGTCAAGTCTAATTCCTCTTTCATGGGTTAGTTTTGTTCTCTTCTTAATATACTTAGTCTTATGATTCTCAAACATGGATCTCTATAACCACCACTGGATCCCCAGCTTTATTGTAGGAAATAATACGTCAATCGTTTTAGACGGTCAATTGTTTCTACTCTTAGCTTGGGGATATTTATTGTCTCGTCTAAGCTTTGCCCAAAAGCATTTCAAGTAAAAAACTTGCGTAAGTAAAACGTAAGTAAAACTTTGCGCGCGTTTTTATTTTTATTTGATTCTCTTATTCTTAATGAAACGTTTTGATACTCTATTAACAGATATAGACGAATGTTTGTCTCTAAAAAATGTTTGTGGTCATTCTCAAGCAACCTGTGCAAATTCCCCTGGGTCATACGCTTGCTCTTGTGGCACTGGATTTTTTTCGGATGGCGTCACTTGTAGGGGTAAGTATATATTTAAAATTGTACTCACCATGATGATTGAGTCGTTAAAATACAAATTTAATGGTATCATAAACCGAAAAATTCCTATTAACCTTCTAAATTTGCCGTTTTAGATTTAGACGAATGTGCTCAAGGGAAAGACAACTGCAGTATCCATGCCTCGTGCAACAACTCCAATGGGTCTTTCAAATGTACTTGTTATATGGGCTTTACTGGAGATGGAGTGACATGTACAGGTATTTTTACATAATATTTTATTTAATGATGGTATAGTTTTATATAGGAAGTGAGTCATTGATATTCCAAATGAGTTTGACAGAAACAAGTGTAGCTAAAGTTTTTAAAGATCAGGTAGAACTAGAATTAGCTCCCGAGGTAACAAGATTGACCTGATTAAGTAATTTACAATTAGGGGTAATTATTGGTTTCCTTTAAACAACTGTTTTAAACTTTGCACATGAATGGTGCCTGTTTTTTACTCACCCTGAACTTTAATTGGTAAGATTTTATTTCATTGGTTAATTTTATGACACATAAGTCATTCTTTGTTCTTGCTTTCGTCAACATTCTAATATCAGATTTATATGCTTTTTAACAAGGTGGAAGCTCGGCATACATTTTTCAGACTAAGCCAATCAGAATACCAAAATTTTTACTACTTCATGTAAAATAGTAAATAATGTACATTTTTGCCGAAGAAGTGTAAATTTATGCATTCTGATTGGGTAGCTGGGAATGTAAACAAACTCGCTGATTGGTCTGAAACGAAATTCTACTTGTTGTGCTATTTCAATATAGATATCGACGAGTGCAACTTGAAACGTGATAATTGTTTCAACACTAGTGCGTCATGTATTAATTCTCCTGGTTCTTTTATTTGTACTTGTGAAAGTGGATACAGCGGGAATGGCAAATTTTGTAGAGGTATGCATGTGACATATTTTTCTTCGTATTGCAAAATTAATGTTAGGTTAGGTTTAATTTCAGCATCACTTGTGCAAGCTGTCGCGTTGCATCGGACGCGTGGAATTCGTGTTTTCTGGACAAAAAATTACTCTTTTAGGAATTTCAGAAAACAGAGATATACGTTGAATGAAGTGTCGTGGGACTACACGCATCACAATTACATCAATATAGGGAAATTGGGAATATGATCAGGATATCTTTTCTAAATTTTTTATTAAAAATTTTTAGATATTGATGAATGTGTCATGGGAACAGACAATTGTAGCAAACAAGCATCATGTGTTAATGTCAATGGGTCGTTTAACTGTTTGTGCAACGTCGGCTATACCGGAAATGGTGTAACATGTACAGGTATGATATAAGAAATCAACAACTGTCGCTCTGCTGAAAAATTAAATTAAAATAATCTGTGTTGAGTACATATTATGGATCCATACCAGTGGCAAATCAAGCGTGGGGCTGAATAAATTACTAAAGCTCTTGCAATCCCATTGGTTGATTTTTCTTTAAAAATATTCTTTAGAAATGTAGAACCAAAAGCGTTGCTATTAAAGTGTTTTATTTAAGATTTAGCCTCGCCCTATAGCTTGATCCGTCACTTATCCATATATCGATCAGTATACTGATCCGCGTAACGCTTTTCGACCGTCCCTGGTTATGCATATCGCTATCTCACTTGCTCCTCGAGAAAACAGTGTTATTCTCCGCTGTTGCTGTTCATTATGAATTTACATCTGCTTTCCGCTGTTCCTGTTCAATTATGAATTTACATGTGCTTTCCCCTATAGATATTAATGAATGTGTTGATAGACTTGACGTTTGTGGTAATTCCAATGCCACTTGTACGAATACTCCGGGTTCATACGTTTGTTCTTGTGCAATTGGATACAGTGGGGATGGCATCTTTTGCAGCGGTTTGTAAATTCCAATCATAAAAAACTAGCTATTTATGTGGCATATTTAACAACCAGTTAACAAGCTTGAACATGGTATGAAGAATTCAAGCCAAAATATTTCTTAATCGAAGCTTGATAATTCTTCACATCATGTAAAATCCGAATGTAATAATTCTTTTATTGTTTATTTAGCGGGCGAATATGTTTGAACATTGAAGTGATTCTCTGGACACAAAAGTGACCATGCTATTCTATTTTGTTACACGCGATATACGAAGCTTGAAGTAACAGAAATGTAACGTGTGTTACCAGAGAATCGCCCATTAATTTATTCGTTTGCATTTGCGTCAGATTCACAATCTCGTTCTCTTTGGACGTTGATGCCTTGGCAATGATATAACGTCATAACGATTATTTATCGCGCGTTATGACGTCATATAGCGCGCAAAAAAAGCCGTACGCCACGTTAGGAAGTCACTCGTTGAACATGACAATCTCACTTAAAGCTATCAGTCAATCAAAAGACCGTCAATTTCTTTGGAAAAATAATATTTCTTATACCGAATAGGGAAAAATATTAAAATTTCCATTAGCTAAATTACATATAAAACAAGTAAATTACACTTTCAGATATTGATGAATGTAGAATAGGAAAGAATACTTGCAATTCACAAGCTTCTTGTGCCAATACGGATGGGTCGTTTCGGTGTTTATGTAACACAGGATATACAGGAAACGGGCTAAATTGTACAGGTATATAAATAATAAATTATCTACCTTAATTAATAAAAAATTACCCATGCACGAATAAGCTAACTTCTTTCTGAAGTTTTTCGGCCACACAATGAATACTGTAGTGATAACTTACTACAGTGCACTCAAAGAGATCTTTTAAAAATTTTATATTTGTTTTTCAATTTACCAAGGCTTGCCAAGGCTAGTTGAATGAACATGAATTAAACTTAGAGGATAGTTAAAAGAAAATAATTTTTCTTTATTTCCAAACATCAACGAATGTGTTCTTACATCAGATATTTGTGCTAATTTAAACGCAGTTTATTTAAATATTCCTGGTTCATATATTTTTTCTTGCAAATGCCACGAATAGATATTGATGAATGCAAAATGAGAAATGAAACTTGCAATGCACGAGCTTCTTGTATCAACACGGATGGGTCATTTCGCTGTTTATGCGACACTGGATATACTGGAAATGGAGTGAATTGCACAGGTAATGTAACATTTATTTAATTATTTTTGGTAAAAAAAACATTTAAGGGTAAACCAAACCCGTATAAGTGCGCGATTGGAAAGCAAAAAATATGGCGAATTGTTTCGTCCTGACGTTAGATATATGTTGAAATGGTGATGGTAATTACCAATGGCAACCGCGATACAATGCTTCAGGACCGCTCTTTCGCTCTGCGGCTTTTGCCAAGTTCGGCTTTTGCCAATATCCATTTTTGTATACTTTCATTTTTAGCTCGCCTGCACTTTAGTGCAAGAGAGCTATTGCTATAGTCTTGGCGTCCGCGTCCCCGTCCCCGTCCTCGTCCCCGTCCGCGTCCACACTACATGATAGGTAGAATGTTAAGATGCGCCACTTTTATTTTCCCATTATTTTCAACTTATCTACTTAAGGAGTCTATTTGTTGCAAAAGAACCATTTACCAGGGGGGAGTGAACATTATACAACAAAATATAATGATAAGGTCAATGTTAAAATGCTATATTTTTTCTATACTTTGGCTTTACATCAGAGGAATCATTATCAATATAAGTCATCAATATGCATTGTGACTAATTATTGCCATTTGGTACACATTTATACAATAATAAAGAGAGTTTTGCTCAAAATTATCAAATGATAAGGTGAATGTTAAGCTAATTAGCATAATGATAAGGTCAATGTTAAGATGTTATATTTTTTAAATATTTTGGCTTTGCATCAGAAGATTCATCATAAATATAGCTCATCGATATGTCTTGTGACTATATGGTGACATTTAGTACACATTTACACAAAAATAATGGGAATTTTGTTCAAAATTATCAAATGATAAGGTGAATGTTAAGCTAATTAGCATAATGATAAGGTCAATGTTAAGATGCTATATTTTTTAAATATTATGGCTTTACATCAGAGGAATCATCATAAATATGTCATAGATATGCATTGTGACTATTCAGTGCCATTTGGTACACATTTATACAATAATAAAGAGAGCTTTGCTCAAAATTATCAAATGATAAGGCAAATGTTAAGCTTATTAGTATCATGATAAGGTCAATGTTAGAGTTATCCAGAGTTATCACGCTCATTACGATTTTCAGGGCTATTGTGTAGCCCTGTTTTTTTTTAGTTCAAAGTTGTAGCTGAATCATATTTAACGAAACTATTTGTACAACCCTAAGCCAAATGAGAAACTTTCAAATATTTTAACCTGTATGCTACCATTTGTTTGTATTGTACATGTACAATTATAAATTATGAGATTGTGTTGTGACATGCCGTATCAAAATTCAATCGCTTAATATAGAAATCATTCAGGGAGTGAAAATATATAAAACATAGTCCAACGTTAAAGTTTAAAGAATATTGTCAGATAATTCGCAATTACAAGCTTTAGCACATAAGTATTTATAAGTAGAAAGCCGATAGGCTCGGAATGCAAAGGCAAATGGCAACGCATGTGACATATATTTGCATATTATTTATGTAGATACACATGCAAATATATTATTAAAGCACCTATAAGATTTATGTACATACCTTTTCGTTGTTTGATGCATAATCCTTTTTTGTGTAGATATAAAAATCCAATCTTGTTTATTTCATAAAGCTAGGCGCACACACGACGATTTTAGTCGGCCGATTCCTGTCTAGATTGTTTTGTCTAGATGGATGTTTTCATCAAAATGTGGCGACTGGCGATCTATACTTGGTCATAATATTAGACCAAGTAGACTCGCGTACACGCGCGGCGCGCGAGAAGGAAAACATGTCTGGGCAAGGGCTGCCTATATGTCTAAACCTGAATGGACCAACTACCGTAAAATCGTTGTGTGTGCGCCCGGCTTAAAGCAGGGACTTTTGCCTGGTCCGTTAACTTACCTGTTGATATCACGTGCGCGGATTGCGAGAAACGGAAGAAATATTGGTCATAAATAAAACTAATGTAATTCCGAGGCCAGTTTTGGCCAGTAATTCTGAGGTCACAACTAATATCTGAAGTTTGTGCTTAATATTACCTTCCAACGCGGATTTTAGCCTTGTAATTTGTAATAAAAAGATCGGTAATTTGTGCTTCATACAGATACCTTTCATACAGAGTTTAGCCTTATTCTAGACAAACAGTGCAGGCGAGCGTTAGGTGATTTCAGCACCTCTCTGGTTTTTAAATGCTTTCATATTGTTTTATATACTTTATATTACGTGCATGCAAAAAAATGTATAACTATAATTTATGTACACACTTTCCTTCCGCACAAATTATACAAGTTATCTACATTTGCGAAGTGGGAAAACCATGTATAATTATGTGTTGTTAACTTTTTGTTTTGAATCTATAGTCTTTTAACTGTTTGACTTTTATATTTTTTTTTTATTCTATTGCTTGACGGGAATTGAGCGCGTGCATTTTCTTCACCGACAAGTGTAGCCACACGAATCATAATAATACAACGAGGTTAAAAATGGCGGATGTTGTTTTCACACTTCGTACTATTGTGCACGACATTTTTAAAATTTTACTTTGTAATACGTTATTTTTATGTTATGTTTTGACAGATATTGACGAATGTCTCATACGATATAACAACAATTGTCCTTATTCAAATACAATTTGTTTGAATACCCGTGGTTCGTTCTTTTGCGGCTGTTCAATCGGATACTCTGGGGATGGTGTTATTTGCAATGGTATGCTTTTCTCCTACAATTACAAATTGCAATATGTTGCATTTTTCTGGCGCTCAATTTAAGTCGTTTAAGCTAATGCAATATACAATTATATTGCAAAAATCTATCTACCAAAAGGAAATTGTGAAAATTTTGCAACTTCCCTCGAATGAAAATCTCGCAAAATCTAACAACTTTGAATAGGTTTTTAGATTTGAATTTTTCCACAACACCAGATTTTCAATTAGAATATTGAAAACGAGGTGGATAGTGGACCTATATAAAACAGTATAACAACAATGAAATGATAATTTTCATTTCAATAAAATCTCGATCCTCACAAGCAATTCTGGTATGGCACTGGATATTGAATGTTATGTACAATATCCAGCGGATAAGTACAATATGATTTATCACAACCTTTTAACCTTAGTCAACTCCACAACAGATTCAAGTAACATCACTTACCCTGTCGTCATGCAGTGACAATTCATTCATAGCAGATGCTTTCCAAGTACCATAATTATATGATTTTGCTCTTTTTTATGCTAAATATCGCGGAGGGAGGATGTGTAGTTCTGAATATACGGAATATACTAATCAGTTACAAGTGACATGCAGGTTTGGTTTTACTATATTGATTTGCTAATAAGAATTTGGGCCGGGTTCTCATTAACAACGTTTATCTCTCTAACGCATGCATGAGTCTATACACTGTAAATCTTGAAGTGACATGTTTAGGCAATGTTTAAACCACCACGTTTTGCTGTTATTTTTCTTCATCTCACTTATAATTATTTTTTCTATTCTAAAATGTCACAAATGCAACGAAACTCTTTGGAGGATGGATCAATATGGGAGTCAGATATGGAAAAACTAGAAAGGTAATCGTAAAGGTGAAAACGAAATTACATTCTTTTAGTATAGGCAATGGTATATTTTCTCCAGAATGTTTTTCCGTATTTGCACGAGAAACTGCAATAGCTATTAATTCTTAATATTATGGACGAAAAAATAACCGAGCGCGAGGTCTTTATCGAGAAATATCGAACCGATTTTTTTTTAACAGATCGATTTCGAAGAGCAAGGTTTGTGCAAAAAGATCGAGGCCCGATATTTCTCGGTAAAGTCCGAGCAAGCGAGGTTAATAAAAAGTATATTATATGGCATAAGACATCTATTTGCACTTGAAATAAACAAGAAATGCATGGATTCGTATGAGTAGCCTTGTATGCATTTTATAAAAACAAAAACATAATATTGAATTATTTAGTTTACTTAAACTGTCTGGAGACGTCTTTTTAATTTCAAGAGCAATTAAATTCTCTTTTGAGCATTTATTTGCGCCTTTTTCATTCAGAATTTCTCTCTTTTTTTGTCTCGTAATGGATCGTCGGTCCATTAGAGCCGGGAAAGTGCCGGTCCATTACGGGAAAGTAATGAACGCTGAAAATTCCTCTCAGCCAATCACTGAGCTCTATCTCACCGGAAGTCACGCTATAGTAAATACATATATTATATCTTGTTGATGTGAAGTGATGAGTTAATGAAACCACAATTAGATATTACATACAGTGCAATTTTAAATTGAGTTGCACTCTTAATTATTTAGCATAAAAATATATTTATCGCTCTTTCGCTGCGATCGTAACATCTTGAGAAATCGCTATTTCGCTGCAATTTTAAATGAAGATTTCTTCTGTTCTTGTAAGTGTTATAATAACGAATTCGGACATATTCAACTGTGTAAATTACAGGAATTTTGTATGAAATACAAATGACTTTTTCCATGCACCATCATGTACGTACAACAGGCTGTTTCACGACTTTCGTCTGTTTTTACATGTTAGTCCCTAATTCATTAGATTTGTGTGTTCAATGAAAAGCTATTCAAAGTTCATTTGATTTTAGAAAAACCAGGAGTGTCAATTATTTGTTCAGGGAAAATAACAGCTATTCGAAGTGATAGAATTTCATGCATGCAAATCGTCCGTCTAATTTAGGCTAATTTAGTATAAAAATCTAGTAAAATTCGACCACTGCGAAGAAAGAGAACCAATCAGTTCGCAACGAATTAAGAACAGATGACAATGAGCCATTTAAGTGCGTCGCCAAAAGTAGCAAGTTTTGTCCCCAAAAATGCTTTAAATGATCTGTTTTGTGTAAGTATTAATTAATCAGTATATGATTTATATCGCAGATAGCTTCTAGGAATTAACGCTTATACTGAAAATTATCATTTTTTATGCGCATGATAATTTAAGGATTAATATAGGAATAATTAAATTCTGCATGATTTTCTCCCGTGTTATTAGATAAAGAAAATTTCTTCTTGGGAGATCAGTATAATTATTCTTATTGATAAAGCCGGGTTCATACTACATAAAATGCATATTAATTAAGATACACTATAATCCCAAAGTAAAAAATATACTTTCGGTATAAATTATTTGCCCAAATCGACTTCTTTAAAATTAGTTTTTTGTATCTATAGCTAGTTGGCACCGATGCTACGATTTCATGAACAATAAGGAACAAGAATTTAATTTGGCAGATGATTTCTTTCTAAATTAAGTATGCTGATACTTGGTGCTTTCGCGTTTGTATGCATATGTTTCGTGCCGTAAAGGAAAATTCGAGTCAAACACTGTCTTGGGTAGTTAATTTGTTTAAAACATTTGAAAAGAAGACAACACCATGGGTTATAACAGGAATCCAAATTTCCTTCCTTTTGTAAAGTGTCTTCATTCGGTAAAGAAAAAGTCATTAGCATGCATATAATTATTATTCCCATCTATTTCCTGTTTTTAATTTTTTGAAACATTTGAAAAAAAGACAACACTATGGGTTATAACAAGACTCAAATTTCCTTCCTTTTGTTTACAATAGTGTCTTCATTTGGTAAAGAAAAAGTTCATTTGCATATATTCATAATCCCCATATATTTCCTGTTTTTAATTATACAAGTAGCTAGCTACTTGTGATCACGACTTATCGCCTTCGTCTTCGTTTTAGCCTATATAATATATTAAACTCCAATCAACGGCAGGATGTCGTGGCTACTTCATCGACACTTGATCTTCCTTGGTTTATCTTTGTTGAGGTTTGAAGGTAAAAATGAAATGATTTTGTTTTATTAACCTTTCATATGATAGCAAGACTTTAAGGGGAATTAGCAGTATGGTGCCTTTACGAGGCAAGATAATAAGTTATGTGTGCATGAGGACTTCTGAAAAATTTCCTATTGCCAAGAACAGTGAAATAAACTCTAAATATCTCCATTTTGCAAATCTAAGACGAGCTTTGTTTCTGAATTATAATAATGGGTGCTTAGGCTTCATCAGATCGACGCTTCGTATTTTAGATTAATCTCCTCTTATAAAGTCCGAGAGACGTAACAGTAAATCACTGCGGCGAAAAAGAGAATACTAAAATAAATGCACTGCAAAGTTTCGCTGTAAAATGTTGTAAAATGTTGTAAAATGCGGAAATGTGCTCTTAGTTATTTCGTATACTTTTGTATTGGTTGTATGCAATGACATGATTGAAATATTTCAGTTGACGGGCGGATGCAACAGGAAAGCAGATATTGAGTTTTCACCAAGTGTATAAAGGCAAGAGCTAATATACGGATCGCTGCACATGTGCACTTTGAAGTTCTTTGGTTTTCCTTTAAAGGAAATGAAGCGCCTCGAAGTTGTTTTATTGTCAGCCACTGGCAGGAAAACTGACTCCATACAAGAAATTCGGTAGAGGAATTTTTACTATTTCGGCCGAAATTGTTTAAGAATTTCCGTCCAAACCACGCTTGAAGAGTTTCTAAATTTTCGAGTTCTCGTTAGTAATAGTATTACATTTTACATCATTTTGTGGCCAAATTGTGCAAATAAAAGGCATTTTTCCCGTGAACATGCTTACGGCTTACATTGCGAAGACGAAAAGTCTAACTAATTGAAGAAGATGTCGAACTTTTGATATGCCGAAATGATAGAAGACAGAGCAATTCTTTGTATGCAAACACCTACCTATATTATATGTAGATGCCTGTGTTAGGGTATATTTCCTTTCATTTTACAAACACAGCTCTGAGACGTGAGTAAACTAAAGTAAAGATTTAAATTAATTTCCGTAATTTTTCCTTGCAGCTTGACCATGCATGCAGCTAAAAATAATCAGTCAAACATTGAACGTCTGTGTTCGAATTAAATTGAAAGTGATTCTATAACTATATACCTCATGCCCGGCTCTTGTTTTTAAGTGTTTGTTTGCATTTTTTGAAAATATTACCTTAATGTTGTAAGAGGTAACAATGGACTATAAGTTAAACATTCTAATTAACGAAACACGATTTAGGCATCGTACCCTATGCTATGTTAAAATCACCCATCTATTATAAAACAATGGCACAAAATATTTTATTAATTTATTTCGCCAACATTTAAACAAATAAGAACCGAAAAATCTTCTAACACGATTTACAAGTTATATTCCGTTTACTTAATAGCGATCGATTTCTCGAGGAGATAATTATAGGCTTATATCTCATGTGTTGTTTAGGTCTGATATTCAATCTTTTTCGATGGAATAAAAAGCGAATGTCATGAATATTGGGGATGTGGTTTTTTTATACACCCTGCATAATTATTATAATTACAGGTTTAACATATTACAAGTCAATACTTTTGCTCGGTTTTCATTGTTTTCAATTTCATGGTTTTATTTCGATAAGGATATAGAAGCAGGGAAGGGCAGAGGCAAGAGTTGAGTAAATGTATCTATCTTTTAATTAGTTAGCTTTGACTTTGTCACAAAAACAAAAGACAAAACCAAATAACAAACTTTGCTCTTATCATCAGGCCGTAGCTAGACTGCTTAATTGGGGCGGGAAAACGAGTTCTCCAAAAAACGCGACAGCTGAGCGGATACGTGTGGACGGCTTTGCCGGATAGATTTGAAAACGAGACGTCATGTATGATATAGTATTGTCAAATGAGTAATATTTAGGTTATTTAATTTTATGGTGTGGAAAACCACAGTTGTGAAACCTTCACAAATCCTTTTAGTATTTTCGAAAGTATTTTACGTGAGAAACATGTCCAAATGTCGTAATATGCATGGTTTTACACAATTTTTATACACGACATGTACTCTACAACAAAATTTAGGAGTTCGGGCTTCAAACAAAGAATGAATGAAAACTCATTTTTGTTTTTGTTTTTGATTTGGTAGATTTTTGTTTTGAATCCGCCATCACATGTGTGACACGCGGGTGGAACACGTGCAGGTATACTGCGGGATCAAATAACTTTAGCGTTTTCGGATCGTTTTTGTGTTCACGTGTGGATGCGGATAAATATTTTAACAGGGAATTATTTTTCCGTTTTCAAATTTTTCGGGCATCATGCATGTAGACGGAGTCAAATTTTAATTTGGGTTATAATCAAATGTTTGATGGAAAATGACGCTATCCATCTTCCTCTCAAACCAATTAAGAACATGCAACGGTTTAAACAAATCTTACATCAAACCTCTAATTCAAAACATTGTTTCCCACTACTGTTTGTCACCTTCCCAAAGTTTAATTCAGAGTCCATTCCAAGTCAATTAGTTACCTCAAACATCGGCTCTTAGCCAGATAAATGTCCTCCGTTTGTGTCTAAAAGCTGTACGTTCACGCGGGACCGGACGAATTTGGGACCATACCCGAATTCGTCTGGTTCCGGTGTTCCGACGGTGGAAATAGATGAAACTGTAACATGTTCTTTGTGCTCTCATGAGGTAACCGGATAAATTCGAGCACGGTATCAAATTCGTCCGGTCCCGTGTAAACGTCGACGTAGCCTATAAAATGAGACTTGTGAAGAAAGACGTGAGAAATATCAAGGAAATATTACCTGCCTTGTATCTTTTTTCTCCCACAGATTTGGTTTTACGTATTCATTCGTCCCTGTGTATAGCATAATTAGCGCAAGGGATGATATCGTCATCGACTAATCGAAGCAATGTTTTAAAACATGCAAACTGATTGAAATGTTTAGCAGAATTAGCACAAATAAGAGTAAACAAGATTTTATCCAAGGTCCTCGACTGCTTTACTGAGAATTTTAAACTAGTTCAATAACTCGTATTTATCAAAGGGGACAATGGACATCTTCGCTTTACTTGCCTTTAGACTAATTTTTGATCGAAATAACGAGAAGAAAATAAATGACTGCAGCTAGAAAGAGCTTACTAAAATTAGTGCAAATTGGAAGTTTGGCTGCGAATTGTTGGTAAAATACAGAAAATATAACCATGCGAAGTTGGCATAATTTGTATACCTTCGTCTTACGTGCGAAAATATATACTACTTATTAACCGAATGCATATGTGAGGTCCGTATACTATAGAAAAATATCAGACCGAGGTCTTGACAATACGGACTGAACATATATTCGATTAAAAAGGGATTTATTACAATTATGGCATACAGTTTTTAGTTTATTTATTTATACAATGCGCTGCAGCATTTTTGCCGGCTCTTTCGCTAGCCAGTCGCCAAGCAAGAACTGAAGTGATTTCAAAAACTTTGTTTTTTACTCGTTAAATAAGAATGATACAGTAATATAAACAAAAATCTCAAAGAGGAATAAATATAATATTCACATGTACCAAATAACAAAATATTATGTCCACAGTTCTATAAGAACATAAAGCTGCATGATGTTACACGGAACGATTTTTAATGGCAATTCGCAATGTAAACGAAGGTATACGAAATTTGACTGTTGATCGTACTATTCGCTATTTCGCTACATTGTTCGGACATGAAATCATTCGATACTCCAACATCTTCTGGATAATAAAATTCGCCCGGGTGGTGCTCTTCTTCGTCCATTCTTCGTCGAAATTTTTCGTGTCAAAAATAAAAGTGCAAGCTTGTTTTTCGGCAACAGTCTAATACTGGGGATTCCAGACCGGCAAAGAACCAATCAGCGCACGCCATTTAGTCACAAGACCGCGTGCCATATAATAAAAAGGTGTAAATAATTTATTTACACACTTCCGACCGTCATACAAAAGTCTACAAAATTCGACAACTTCGCATGGCTATATTTTCCGTAATTTACAACAATTCACAGCCAAACTTGGCAGATTTACCAATTTTAGTGAGCTCTTTCAGAAGATCTCCTTTTTAACGCGGAGCTCGAGGTAAGAAATTAGTCTAAAGCGCAAGTCATCCATTGTGTAAATTGAAATTGCTGATACTCTGTTGCCAGGTTGTGAAGGGTTTTTTCTCAGACATACTCCGTCTGGAAAGTGTATTTCTGCAGAAGATTTATTTTGGGAGAGTAATTCTGGCACACGTTATTGGGCTGAAATGGTTGACGACTGTTTGAGTAAAAATGCATCATTTCGTTACCTTCAGAGCGAACTTTTGCAAAATATCGCCACAGAAGGAAACCTTTTAGCTTCTAATATACCTAGATATCAAAACCGTTTGTTCGTATTCGGCGGCAAAAGTCACAGAGGAAAAATATTCATGAACAATCCAACTCACCGTTTAAAACAAACCAATGCTGGATCGCTATATTTCTACGACAGCGGGACGAACTCGTGTGCTCAGCCTGATGCGAGAAGAAAATATATTGATCAAAAAGAGAATGGATGCAGGGGTACAGCGGAACAAAGATTTACTTTTGGTAAGAAAAAATTTGGTAAGAATATTTTGTCAGTATCATGATATAAGGGATTGGGGGACGCGTTATTAGAGTGGAGTGAATCAGGTACCGTGTGAACGGAACGTATAGATCTGTATGAAAAAATCCTGGTTTGACTGGTCTAGCTATATAATTATTAAACAAAACGTTTTACATAGAATCCAAGACAACGCCTGATCGGCTTGTTTTGTTCTGCACTCACCCGAATAAATAAAACAACTTTAATAGGAGATAAATTTTTCACTCCAATCCAAAGTTATTTCATGTGCCAAAAGTTCTTGATCACTAACGTAAAGAAACTTAATATTCCTTAAGGTTCAGTGACAGAGTATGGTACGAAAATGAAAGATGTTCATTGTTCTCCAATACAACATATGATGGTTACAAATGTTCGTTACGGAGACTTTATTGCAAATGGCAAGTTTGATGCCGATGCAAGCAGTGATGTCGAGTGTAATGCTGTAGCAAGTTGTATGGTTAAATCTCTTTGTGGTGGAATTAAAAACAAATCTTGTGACCTGACCATTAACAACAGTTTACTGCCACCATCCCTTTGTTCTGGTCGTACTGAAGAAGTTTTTACCGAATACACCTGTGTGGATAATTATTATCAAGCAATAACAACAGGTGATGACTTTTAGAATCGTCTGCTTACTTAAATTAGTTTTGGGTTTTGGGGGACACCCTCTATAGTGTGAAAAAAAACCCCAAAACCATTGAAATCACCTATTGAGAAATATTCTATCAACAATATATAATTTGAGTGGTTTGACTATACAAATTTTAGTTACGAGTGAATTTCCAATAAAAAATTCTGTTCTAGCGCGTAACATAAGGTTGTGGAATTCACCAAACAGAGGATACCTTCAAATAAAAGATGGTTCTGGTTGGAGGTATGTCAGAGAAGAAAATTGGGATAAAAAACGTCAAAAAATGCTGTGTCAGCACATGGGGTTTGTTGAGACTGCCAAAAATATTATTTGGAGAAGAAGAATAAGATTGCTTGAAGGACTTAAGATTGCATCAGGGGACTTGATGTGTTACCGCAGACGCTTAAGACGAACATCATGTTGTGCTCATCTTGTTCTTTCAACAACCATGTCATCTGTTCCTGTACCTTATGTTAAGTGTGAGTACATCGAGTTTCACACCAGTCAGAAGGGGGGGGGGTGCGAAACCGGGGACGGGGGGGGAAGCAGAGCGGAGGCGTGAGCTATGTGGTTTCTATATGGTTTGCATAGTTAACGATTTTTTGGCTGGTCAGACAAAGCGATAAACTTCTTCGTAAATTCAACCCTCTTCGCCACCCTTCTTCTATGCACAATATCTGTGAAGCTGAGTTTATATGCACTATATTTGTACATAACAGCTAATATATCACATTGAGATCACATCCTTAAACATAAGAATAACTTTAACGTCATTTTGTATCAATTTTCGATTTTTTCAGTGCTATCCTATTCGTGATAATTTAATAGAACTGTGAAGCAAGCTGCACAAACATTATAATAAATGTGGAAAAGACGGCTAAAAATAGTTCAGGAAAAATGTCGGATTGATTAAACGAATAAAGGGCAATACATCGAGTCCATAATCATGAATATTAATATTGTTATTCCGTCTCTAATATTCTCCATATGATTTTATTTCTATAGGTAAGATGTGCAATGAACCAGAGTTACTCCAAAACCGAACAACTTTTCCAGATTCCGTTTTCTCTGGAAGTGGCTCTTATGCTTTGATGAGCGCAAGATTTGATAGAAGTGGTTGGTGTACCGAAATTAGCAGACCAAAGTATCTGCTGATTGATCTTCAGAAAGAATATCACATAACCCGAGTCGTAACAATGGGTAATAGAGACCAGACTAAATGGATTGGTCAGTACATAATGGCGTACAGCTTTGATAACAGTTTTAGGCACGCAAGACAGGTAAAATTTAAAAGTGTGAGCATCTATATAATTTATGCAACAACTATCCAGCGACCGGAGATCACACAGCAGTAACTATACAATTCCTGTTTTAAAAAGTAAATAAAATTGATAATCGAAAAAGCGTTATGCTTTTATGCCATATATGCAGTGTATACTGCTGCTATCATTTTAATCTGATAGCTAAAATAGCCGTCTATATATCTTCCGCTTGTTTACAAACAAAGAAGTTTAAAGAAAAAACAAGGACCTTATACAATAATTACTATGCCAACGATATAGTATTCTTACGTATATACTGCAGTATTCCCGAATTGTAAATGGTTGGTAAACAACGGTGGGGCACGGCATAAAAAAGAAAACTCTCCTCGATTTTTAGATGACTGGAAACACAAACGGCTTTCAAGCATCAATTACTAGTCTTAATATTTACAACGTGAGGCATATAAAGATACAATCAAATACGAAAACAGATTTTTGTTTACGAATAGAACTCTGTGGAAAAGGTAAGATCATTCAGCAACTATTATATTCATACGCTGAGTCACCAACCGGGCAAGCTGAAAAATTAGCTTGACCACGGTGGGAATCGAACCCGCGACCTTTGGTTTGCTAGTCCAATGCTCTTCCAACTGAGCTACAAGGTCAAGACGGTTCGAGTGGTTGATATTTCGGTGACTCAGAGTAGCAACATCACATATATACACTTAATATACACACCTGAGTCTTTGCATTATCACTATATTCATACGCTTTTAAAGGATAAAGTTATAACTAAACCAAATTAATCATAACTATAAAAATGCATGAAAGTTGTGAGAAACTAAAAAAAAAATGCATGCAATTGAAAAATTTAGGATAGTTCTTAGCCTTGATCGTTAGCCTTGATGTTCTTTTAAGAAGAACATATAATTATATACACTATAGCTATATCGATTGCATATATGATACATACAATCCTATATACGCTCAATTATTATTATAAAACTACGCTTTCCATTCTAGTTCAAATGCCAGCACCTGTGAAAGATGTTAGAATTAAAGTTAAAAAAAATTCAGCTAAAGTGTGCTTGGACATAGAAAGATCGGCATCAGCTTCGAGTTACATCATAAAGCTCAATGTATATCTTAATGGCGAAAAACATCAGACTGTAACTCGGCGACAATCCTTTGGTAACTTCAGCATTACTGGACTCACACCAAACACTGTTTACTATGTTGGAATTGAGACGGAAGATGGTTCTTCCCAAAAAAGCAGCCGAGTTTTTATGTTTAAGACAAAAACAGGTATATAAATATTCTCCAACTCCGGCGTTGTACGTCCGTGGCAGTGAAATTATTGATAATAACGGACTTCTTTCGTTGACCATTGTTTCATCAGATCTTCCTACCATTCGCTCCAGTCCTATAACATTTAATATTGCATAATAATAAATAAGTAATAATGTTTCATGTTTATGTACAGGAAAGGCAAACAACGAAGATGACAAGCAGATTAACGAGACATCATATAAGAAAAACGTAACCACATATATTACTGCTGATAAAACTACCGGTGAAACATGTAAAAGTATTGCTAAAAGCCACCAAATGCCAGGGGACGTCGTATACGGTAAAATAACCACTTTTTATATTTTTTTAAAATTGACAGTACCATGACCCACTTTTCATGTACTAATTGTTTCATAATGTTTAATTAATGGTCATAATTGGCATTGTAACAAATATTCCACGACCTCAGTTTTAGTCTCTAGTTTGAGTTACATATTCACGACCTGATCATTAATACTTAAATTTTTAAAGAGCTACTCGTTCTATTCTTACTGTTCCGCATGTTCAAAGTTCACTTATATATAGGTAGTGGGAAATTTTGCACGGCTAATATAATTATAGCTTTAACCTTTATTACCTTCTATAATCATCAGCATAGATATAATAATCGGCTCATAATCATCCATCTTTCCATGATCATCAGTATACATGTAACAATCGACTCATAATCACCCATCTTAATTTCCATAATCATCAGTATACATGTACTAATCACATCATAATCATCCATCTTTCTATAATCATCAGTATACATATAACTATCGGCTCATAATCATCCGTTTTTCAATAATCATCAGTATGTAGATGAAATAATTGGCTCATAATCGTCCATGCATCTTTCCATAATCATCAGCGGTATAGATATAATAATCGACTCATATAGCCATGCCCTATCATATTATACAGATAACAGACCAATTCACGGAACACGATCTTACTTATCTGGTGTAACATTCGTGGCGGGCGGAATATTCGGTATATTGCTTTCTTACGTTGTCTGGCGTTTTCGGCGTTACCGAAAACGCCGGAAACATCAGGCAAGCTCTGAAGTTCCAGGGGCATCAACAGACAAGGCTGGACAAAACGCAACCTATGACAGCCTGGATCTCACCAAGATGAACTTTGAAGATAACTATCAATCGCTGAGGAAGAGTCTGAGTGGAAAGGAGGAAGAAACATGTGAACATGCTGAACCTTACACGCAATTGAATAAAATTAGAGAAATCGAAGAACATTATCAAGCTCTTAAATGAATAAAGATATACCACTCTTTTTCGCGGATTCAGGTTGAGTGTTCATTGCTCAAAAACGTCACAAATGAAGCAGGCCGATTATTTATGCCGATTATTCTTAATAGTAGGAAATATACTATTAGTAAAGAAGGTGATCACAAAACAAGATTTTTTCCTGAAACGTTCGTCGATATACGCACAGCCAAACCTCTTAAGGTCTCGTCAGCCGTTGTATCTAAAATTTTGAAACGCTATTGCTAAGATTAATTAGTTCTGCTTAAGCCAGCCGCGGATGGAGGTCCTATATAAAACATAGTCTTTTACCTGACGTTGTTCTGCAATATATTGAGTTTTAAAAAAGCCAGCGTCCATCTATTGCATATAATAAATCTTGCCAGAATTTTACGAGTTTGTAGACATGCTATATAGAATGCGTACCATGCGTAACTGCTGTCGCTGATCTTAATAGAGATTGTCGGTTGCCACACGGAACAATCGTCTTCTTGCCTGAGTTTAGTAATCTCATTATTTGAGATTTAGGTATATACATGCACAGCCGTGCCAACGTCCTCATCACGATTAGCCAATCATATTTGAGCTGAAATGACTATTCACCAATTAAATTAAGGCAGTGGTCACATAACCCGGTATGGAAATATCAATTTATGGAGGGAATTTTGAATATTTTGATCCAAGTGATTGTTTATATTTTTACACACCAAGTTATACACATTTTTCCCATGGAAATAGAGTTCTTTCATAGCAGCCGAAACTAATTTGCCACTTGACAACTCGCGCGTTTATGAGATGCACATGATCGTGACGTCATTAAACATGCACACAACCTGAACGCGCAGTATTCTTAATATTTCATTTCATTATCTAAATATGATCTTTTATGTATACATATAGAATTATAAAGTAGTTATTCAGGACTTTACACACGCTCTGTCCTATAGGACTAAATATAGGTTAAGGTGAACATGTGTGAGCAGTAATTTTAGTTTGTTTTTAGTATTGGAATAGCATAGAGTTTCGAGTGCAACTATATAGATAAACATACACAAATGAATTATTTCATTTTGACGACTGCATGCCGAAAATAAAAAAATAGGCTGCAAAAAAGTCGAAATGGCAAACGGTATTTCAGTGTTGGATAGTATAGCAATTGTTTTTATGCCTATATATGAACATCATTGTATGTATTAGCCCAACTCAATTAAGCAAATCTAAAGTATGATATTGAAGATCTACAGCAGATATAGTATCTACACTGCAATAGAAAAGGTTTAAAAAAATGGAAGAAAATTTAATTATATTTAAGAATATATATTTTTAGTTGACACATGGATTTTATCGGCGGAATAAGTTTTGCGTGAGCAATTAAAATATCATTTTAGTTCATTAACAGGTTTAGAAAGAACTGATCAACGGGGTTCCTTTATACTCATATATCGATTCAATGCAATTAAGCATGTATTTGTAAGAGAACAAACATTTTTTTGCAAATATTTGTAATAGAAGAAATACGAATAAATTTCTAACGCAATATCAGAAATTGGTAAAGAGACAAAGATAGTTAAGACGTAAACATAATTATATATTAAAGCAACTCGTTGCAATAACAGTACAGGGTAAAATTTTGAATAATTGTGTCATATTCATAGTTAAACTTATTACAATATTATTTGATAACTCTCTTTTGACTGGTAATTCGTGTTTTTTATTACCTCTTTTTACCATTTACAACAAAAATGTACATTTGTACATTATAATTGATGTACAAATGTACATCAATTATAAATTGCAAATTAAGAAATGAGTATTCAAGCGGCAGGTCCACACTGCATGATATAATTATATTCCACGCAGGTTATCCCAGTGTGACTATTTTTCACGCACGAAATATAGAGCTTAGCTCGCAATTGCCGTACAAGAAAGTATCAAATATTATCAAGCAAGAATGAAATATTTTACAAAGGTATAGTATAATATTTATTTTTACAATGTATATGTGAAGGGAGAGGTTGATCATGATAAGAAATATTCAGCGAATCAGATTGACGCTTTGACACATACTTTTAGGGTTGAAATTTCTTTACCATAATAGGTACCCACAGCTTAAAAAATCCCGAAAATTCATTTTTCAAGACAACAGCGCGTCTATAAAAAATGAAGTACTTGCCAGGTAGCAAACACTGGTCAAGGCTGAAATAAGAAATATGTGCATCACCGGGATTCGGCGTTTTATAGCACATGTTTCAAACTACGTATGGAGGTCTAAACCCCGCTATGTTTTCAATACCCCCTATATATCCACATTTTAAGAGTGATTAAAGCTATAGTGATTAAAGCTATAAACTTATTTTCCTCATTGGCGAGATTGCATTTATATAATATAATAATAGAAAGGAAATGATTTTGTTCCAAAGAATTGTCTTCTAAAAAACGAGTAAAATATTGGGGGAACATTGCACCATTGCACTATATTCAAAAAAAATAAAATAATCCCCAATGAGAACAAAGAAAACCGAACAATGTGAGAGATAACACTGTTCTTATAGCTATAGAAAAATAGTTGCACGTCATACTATATGTTAATCATATTATGGTGAGAGAATGCTTAGTCATTCACCGCGCATGCAATGCTTTTTTTAACTATATCTAATGTTGTTTGGGGCTCAACTTCAGCCGCTATAATTCGTCTTCGGCAAATGTCCCATTCTCTTTACACATCCGAATTTCAAATCTCGAATAAGGAAAGTCTTGAGGAAAATTTTGATTCTAGTGATTGTTTACATACTTTTATACACTAAACGTATATTATACATTTTTTGATACTCCCACGATAATTTAAATCGATTTTAGGCCGATTTTGTTTCATCGATAATCCAACGCATTGCTTCTGCCGTAGAAGATATGGCGAGTCATTAAAATTTCATTTTAGTTGGAAATTCGGAAATTTTCTTTTTCTTGCCTAAATCAAAAGTTAGTCTATTATGCAAAAGGTGCAATAGCAAAATGAATATATTCTAGCGACAGGTGGCTGAACCAACTACATGCATGACATATTCCACGCAGGTTATTGCATGCCAGCCGTTATTGCCGTTATTGCCGCACAAGAAAACATCAAACATTATAAAGCAAGAATAAAATATTTTACCAAGGTATAGTATTATATTTATTTATGTGAGGGAGAGGTTGATAAGAAATATTCAGTGAATCAGATAGACGCTCTGGTTTCTTTGTCAATTAGCTACCATATCATGTAGCCATGCACCGACGGCTTAAAAATACCTGAGACGAAAGTATACTTGCCAGGTAGAAAACACTGCACGATCAAGGTTGAAATACGAAATAATTATGTATGAAATAAGCGTAGGAACTCCGCTGGACTCGGCGTTTTACAACACATGTTTCAAACACCGTATGCATGACCGACCGTGCAGGGCTTAAGAGATCCTGCTGCGTTTTCAATATATACATTGTAAGCGTGGTTACCGGTAGTAACTGTCCGTTCACGTCAGAAAAGGCATGAAGCTCTTCTGGCCAAAACAGTAAAAGGCCTAGTGCATGTAGCCTATGTTAATCGACGTGTTTTGATGAGAGAATGCTTATCATTCACCGCTTATGGAATGCTTTTTTTAACTGTTTAATGTTGTTTGAAATGGCAACTTCTATACTTTTATACTTCGTCTCCGGTAAAATCAATGTCCTATCTCTTGTTATCCGAATTTCAAATCTCAAATGAAAGCAACCCCATGCAAGCCTTTGTCTGGATTGATTTTGTCAGAAGCAAAACGTATTTAAAAGTATTTAGAGTAAAATGAATTATTTTAATATAATTAAGTAATCATTTTAATAATTTACATTATATATTTTAGCAAGATGACTCCCGATATTAAGGGGTTGAAACTTATTGTTTCAACTGATTATTTACAGCCATTTGGTAAAACTTTCATATTTTCTTATTAAACAGACATGGATAAGAGAAAAGTTTCCACAATCTTCATCTATTGTACTCGTCGTTGTCATGATCATGATCGAGTCCAGTGTTTTGTCCGAAATAGTTGACAAAGACTCCTTCTCCGGTGCTCAGCTAATGATGGTTGGAAAAGGTAGGCTTTTGAAGAAATATGATGTTGAAATAAATGTAAATTGCATCAGCACAATTATTCAGAAAATGTTTAAAAAAAAAATTGACTCTCCATATTATTGTCAAAGTTTCGAGTTGTTTATATACAGCTAATTTTATCAGTATAAAGTAGGCACATGCAGGTATTATGCTCATCACCTGTTTATTAAAATTTAAATTCGCGCTGCAAAAATAATCTACTTTACTTGTCACAATAAGTTATCGAAACTGTAAAAAATCTATTTTTATGTCATTATTTGCAGATAGCGCTGTTATTGGACATGTTCTGGCGACTTATAATGTTCAGGACTTTCATCAATGTGGTCTATCGTGTGCATCTAATCCTAAATGCAAAGCCATCAATTACGAGTATTCGGCTGTCAACAGTCCGTTGCAGAAGTGTGAGTTGAATGACGCAACTAAGTCGGAAAGACCTCCAGAGTTTTATATTTATCGTAAAGGATTTTCCTATTACGAGATGGTAACTGATTCAAAGCCACAGGTATTTTCATTACTCTATGTTATACATGAAATGTGAGTGTACTCATTTAAATTTGCAATATCTTCCCATACGTACACGCGTAAAAATCATCATGTTGATGCAAGTTGTTAACAACATTGTTCACCCCTGATGCGACAACCTGATCAATTTTTGGTCGTGTATGTAATTACACAATTCTGGCAGCGCTTCCTCAACCGATATTATAATGCTAAATTATTGAAGATTACGGCTTTCCCTTTATGGAAGTACATGTTGGTCCAATATAGCTTTCAACAGCTTGTCTTTCATTATCAATAATTGCTGTAAAAACAACACTCAAAACATATGCATGCCAATTATGAAATCGTATAACGCCGTGTATCATATTTTCTAAATAACTCCAATGAATTCCCGCATTAAGGCATCGAGAGTTCATTTCGATGGCATCATAAATGTTAACATTAACTATGCGATTTAAAACCTATAGACACACAGTAATGAAATTGGAAAGAAGCTCAATTTAAATTGTCCCGATCAGTATGATGGAGCAAGTTGTCAAATATTTTGTAAGTTGCAGTGTAGTATTTTTAAACGTCTATAGCGCGTAATGATTAAATTTATTTGATTTTTCATCACCGCGTAAATTTGTTTATTCTATCCACAAATGCATGAACAAGAAAACCCCTATCTTTGTGCATGTAAGAGTCATCATTCATTACTTATTTATGTAGTAATATGAAAAAGCGCGTTTGCATGTACAAATTTTATATCCACTTACTTAAGAAGCGTTTTTTCGGATATCATTTTAACATTTCGATATCTCGAATTAAATTGCATTCTTCTGTAATTGTTTTTTCTTAGAGCGTACATATTCGCCTTGTAACCCAGATGTATATGATTATCTACGCCAGGGACCAGTTGTTCAAAGCTTGGTTAGCGCTAACCCTGCATGGGTTGAATTTTAATCAGTGTTTTGGTTTATGTACCCCAAAACCATTGTTCGTTTAAAACTTTAGAAAATATTACTTCTATCGGTCCAACGTTATCAGTCCCTCACCCCTGGTGCATTATTATACATGTGGATTTACACCGTAACAGCTCGGACGAGTAAAATTGAAACCTGATTCAAATTGAGCGTACATTATTTATATCTTCCAAAACAGATCCAAAGACCTGCAAAGATTATCAAACTACGTTTGGCTACCGTCATGACGGTGAATACCGTATTTATTTGGATTGGCCAGAATGTACACATGCAGCTGTAATTTATTGCGCAAACATGGAAAGTACTCCCTTGGAATATATCTCCTTGACTGAACATGAAAACAATTATGCTGGAAGTCATAAAAAAAATAAGATGAGAGAAGAAAAGACATACTTCAAAAAAGTAAAGTTGTATTTTATTATGCATAATCGTTAAAATTACAGAAGCGCCATGTGCTCGCTAAGCACTTTTAATCGATAGATTTTAAGTCCAGCGAGTATAACTGCATGGCAAAGCTCGTTTGGTTATATGTTCCGATATTATAGCTATAACTATAACAACTTCCAAGAATAGACAAAAGCACTTCTCTCGACGTTTTGAACTAATTAGGACATTTTTGCGAAATCTTTTAGTAAATTTTTTTAGTAAAGGGCGGTACACTACGGGAGGGGGCGCAACAGGGAAAGACCCCTTCTATAGAGAAAACAAAACTTGTAATCTTTCTTTTTGCTACATTGACTTTCAACCATACATGCAGTGTGTCTCGAAACAACAAAATGTCGTCTTTGACTTGCTGCAATGCACTATGAATAAGAAGCTTTCTAGTGTTTTCTTTGCCATAATGGCTAGATTAAAAATAGGTTAAAAATTGCTAGGAGGAAGGCAAATTCTTTCATCATGCATTAGGAATTATATAGACAATTGTATTGGCGCAAGCACTGATATACGCATAAAAGTTTCCTCCATAAATTTAGCTAGCTATATACTTAATTGCTTCCTTCTTATTCGGAAGATGAATAACTCATCTAGCTTTCATACCGGGGGCGAGGATTAAATCATCAAATTCAGTATATCCTTCGAAGAAGTTTCAAGTTTTTTTTATAGCATATATTAACTGGAATTTGAAGTTTTTTTCAAGAAAGCTTAAAATAATAGTGATGATCAGTGGTGACCATCAACAATAATTATTACAATTTTTATACCATACGTATAATATTAGGCATTTGGATAATCCTGTTATACTTAACTATTCTGACTTTAACAGATTAGAATCGTATTGCCTGAAAAAAGTGTCAAGGGAGACGACTATTTCTTCACCACTACAAATTACCCTGGATCCGCTAAGACACCCTACGCCAGCGCGAGCGATTGTTATTCATATTCCTGCAGTGTTGACAATAGAAAAGGAAGTTTCAAAGTGGATTTGACTGGAACTAGCTTTCATTTGCCCAACGCTATTGCCTACGGCTTCAACTCGTACCCAAGCTGCGTGAAAAAAGTTTATGCGGCTTCGATGAGCAGTGACAACTTACGTTGGTCTGGAAAGTGTGGAGGTTACTGTGGAGAATGTTCGCCGAAATCCTTCAGTTTGTTGTTGAATGGCTGCTAATCCTGATGTCTATCTGAAGTGAACTAGTATAATAGTTTATTCACAAATTGCAAGCTAAAATGGTGAAAAGATTTGCGCTTGGATATATATGGTTAATTGCACCACATTACACTGCTGGTCGACCTCTTTAAAATCCACCATCTCAGATGCATTCTTTTTCACCAATATATAACTAATTGAAACATCCGAAAATTCGATATTTAAACCACAATTTTGGCTGTAGCTATTTATCCCATTTAACGGAATAAACTTGCATGGTCGAAAATCACGAGTGAAAGCAACTTGAAAATGGTCATATCAACAATCAGTTTTTACATGTTACGAATATAATTAGTTGAGCTAAACATAGAAATATATTCATTTTTTGTTTGTCATTTGTTTTTTCGAACTACCGTAGATTCACTTATCGTAATATAGATTTGTGAAGTGGACAAGTTTATCGGTTGTAAAACGAAGCGTCTTAGTTTAACGTGGCTATATTATGAAATTAGGCTAGAAATTTAGGCTCCATTTATACACTTTAGCAAGCTAAAAGTTTTTTATCGCTTTAAATTCGCGGTGCAGCTCATATAGTAAAATAAATTTATGAAGACCAATACTCTGGTGGCAATGATAGACCGGGTGAGCTCTGTTTTCTGTGTGAGGACCGTATATAAAGAATTGTAACATACTCCGGTTTGTATAAATAAATGGCAGTGTGCCAAAACACAATGCCGAAATGTTAATCAATGACCTTGAACTAACAGTTCATGCTCACCTTTATACGGTAGGCCCACGTATTCACGTGAATCGTGATATGTAAATTTACTGAAATGTTGCAATATTCAACCGGAAAATCAACTGGTTGTACAAGTTTAATTGCGATGAATATATAACCAAAAACCTCATTCCACGTGCCCCACAGTCCTTGAATAGCCCCTATAATCCCCACGAAAGCAATAAAATGTTTATTCGCTTAAGCAAATAACTTTTTTTAAATAGTAACACATGCGATTTTAAACAGCTATTCATAGCGCTCAAAATGTGCGCAAAGAATATTTATGGAAAAATAATCAATATGGCTGCATGTTGTTAATGTTAATTGTGCACTACGTCATATAAGAGATAACTATAAATTTTGAGGAGATTTATAATTATATGCTTGCTTATAACAAAGCAGAAAACGGGTTATTTGAATTTAACAATATCAATAATTTCGTATTTAATGATATAAAATATATTTGCCTATATTCGTTATAACGATAGAAATAATTACTTGCTTGCTTTAAAGTGGCGGTATCCTGCTAGCAGAATATTGCCATATGCATGTGTGCCCAACGACAAACGATTCGAAAACGGAAAATACCCCCCATTTTAAATTGAAAAAAACTGGAAACAATGCTTTAAACTTTGACTTCCTTTCTTTATGCTTACATGACTTTGTCTCGACTACAATTCTTTGATGACAGGGTTGGAAAACTCGATTGCCCCACTACTGAGCACTTAAATATGCGGTCAAGAAGGGGCGTTACCAGTATTAGTATTGTCTCATACAATAAAAATCTACTTTTTAGTGTCATAATTTACATGGCACCACGACCCTCCCTTTCATTACTGCATTTATTTCTCATGGTTGCTATGACACTGGTACCATATCAATAAACCATGTCAGAGCATCCGACGAATTTAATTTTGGTTAAGATAATTATGCATATTAATTTTCACAGGCATGTCACAACCTTCGTCAGATGGTTTTAATGGCGTGAGGATTTCGCGCTAGCCATTAAAATTCAATTTAGGTCCATTAAAAGATTTAGGAGGATTCAATACTATATATAGGGACTCCTTAGAAAATTTGAAAATCGATTTCAATGAAATGAAGAGTGCATGTCATTTATTTGTAAGAAAAGAAAATTAATACAGAATAATCCAGTATACGTATGCAATATTAGAAAATTGGTAAAGAGACAAAGATAATTAAGACGTACTCATATTTATATATTAGCTATAGCCTAACATCTCGTTCTAATTTCATTGCATGATGAATTTAAGAATAATTGCTCATATTATTAAAAGTCAAACTTATTACAATTGTTATTAATACTCTGTTAGGCTTCTTTGGCTGGTAATTCGCATGTTTTTTATTATCCCTTTTACGACTTGCAACAAAAGTGTGCATTTAATTTGTAAACCCGCGTCAATCAAAATTGCAAGATGAATACTCTAGCGACAGGTGAACACTGCATGAGATGTACTCCGCGCAGGTTATCTCAGCGTAGCTATATTTCACACATGTGTATGAAGTATAGCTTGGCCGTTATTGCCGCGGAAGAAAACATCAAACATTATCAAGCAAGAATGAAGTATTTCACAAAGGTATTTCAATATTTATTTTTATACCATGTTAATGAGAAGCGGTTTAAGATGAAATGGCTAGATTAGAAATATTAAGTGAAATGAGATAGACGCTTTAGAAGATACTTTTAGTGTCGGGTGAAATTTTTCTCCCAAAATATCGAATGCTTAAATAGCCACGAAATAGGATACTAAAATAAGCTTAATCACTACCAAAATACCACGAGCTTAAAGAATCCACAAAAAATCATTTTCTTAGACAACATCCTGTCTATATAGAAATTAAGTACTTGTTTAGTGAAAAAAATTCTGAGGTTGAAATTTAAATACGAAATATTCATGTAGAAGTTACGCCGCATGGGATACGACGTTTTATAACGAATGTTTCAAACTGCGTGCGTATTATCGTGTAGATGTTAATGCTGCTATATAAGAATTATTAAAGCCGGTGAACACTCTCTTCACCTCAAGAAAAATACTGAGCACTTCGGACCAAAACAAATAAAAGAATATCATTTGCTTGAAAGTTAATTAATATACGCCTTACTGTAGGTTTATCATATTTCCTTTTGAGAGAATGCTTAATCATTCACCGCACATAGCTAACTATTGAGACATCTGTGAATTCCTAATGTTTTTTGAGACTTTAGCATGCAACATTTCACCCTTTTTACTACATGCCATTATTTAAGAAAAAAAATCAGCTGCGCGGTCGCTATACTTAGTCTCCGGGAGATGTCCCATTCTTTTTCATCAGAATTTTAAATCTCAAACAAAAGTAACCCAGGCCTTCATCTATATCCGTTTCTGGCTGAAACAAAACGTATAAAAGTATTTTGAGAAACACTAATTTTCTTTAAGTGTAATTAAAGTCCCGTTTACACTATAATGGTACCCGTACTAATTCCATCCCGCCTCGGCCTTTGTATTGGTAGTCTATAGCTATAGGCCTAAGCAAAATTGATTGTAGTGTAAACAGGGCTTAAGTGCAATTTAAATAATTTACATGATATTTTCAAAAAGTTGCTTCCCTGAATTAAGTGCGCTTGAAGCTTTTAATTTGAGTGAATTAGAATGCACTCTATAATTACTTAACGCAATTTGATAAAACATATCTTTTTATGAACAGACATGGATAAAAGAAAATTTTTCACATTCTTCATCGATTGTGTTCGTCGTCGTTGTGATGATCGAATCCTGGGTTTTGTGCGAAATTGTTGACAAAGATCCCTTCTCCAGCGCTCAGTTTATGATGGTTGGTAAAGGTAAGCTTTTAAAAAAATATTATTAAGATGTTAAAAGGTACATTAACACTAATATGAATAATATGTATACTAAAAAATTTTTTTGACCACATTTTTCAAAAACTTTTAGTTCCTATTTTATTTTGCTAATTTTATGCGGTATAGGAACAAGATATAATTATGCCCATCACCTGTCTATTAAAATTAAAATTCTCACTGCAAAAAGTACCAGTCTACCTTTGTTACCACAATTTTTCGAAACTAATAAAATTCGTTTTCATGTCACAACTAGATAGGGTTTTTATTGGACATGTTGTGGCGACTTACGTCGTTGAGGACTTTCATCAATGTGGCCTGTCGTGTGCATCTAATCCTAAATGCAAAGCCATCAATTACGAGTATTGGGATGTCAACAGTTCGTTGCAGAAGTGTGAGTTGAATGACGCAACTAAGATGGAGAGACCTCCAGAGTTTTATATTTATCATAAAGGATTTTCCTATTACGAGATGGTAACTGATTCACAGCCACAGGTATTTTCATCACTGCATATTATGAATTATATGAAATGAAGGTGTACTCATATTGTAATATCTTCACGTACGTATGGAATTACCTAATTCGGACAGCGCTTCCTAAACGATATTACCTTAAATTATTGAAGATCACGACATTCCTTTTAGGACAGTACATGTTGGTCCCATATGTGAAATAAATAAATAATTTTGAATTAATAGCTTTTTTCTAAATATTTGCCGTAAAATACAATACACGAAACATATGTCAATTAGGAAACCTAACGGCATGTATCATTTAATAAACAACCGCATTCCAATTAATTTCCACTTTAAGGCATCCAGTTTTTTATTCCGATGACGACATTTGGAGTAAAAATTAACCATGTGATTTTTAATCTAGACACAAAGTCATGACACTGGAAAGAAAATCAATTTAAATTGTCCCGATCAGTATGATGGAGCAAGTTGTCAAATATTTTGTAAGTTGCAGTGTAACATGAAATCTATCAAAACATTTTCCGTGTTTCTATACAGTTACAGAAACACGCGTAGGAGTTTGGGAGGACGAGGAATAATCAACGTTATTTCGAGTGTTTCGATAACTGTATAAAAACACAAGAAAAAAATGTTTCTATTTATTTTTTGAAAAAGCTCAATAAAAGTACTTTGTAGAAATATAATAATTCGATTTAATTACAAATTCTCATAACCTCATTTTGCTTGTCAATTGCGCCGGGAAAAGTCTCGTTGGGCGTACTGGAGATGATAAATTTGGGGGGGGGGCATATATTGGCACATATTCATGTTGCGCACGATTAATTCCTTTTCAAGTTTTATTAAGGGTCCTTTGAAATGTGACAACAATGTTGCCCATGACCTTTAATAATATAAATTTATTTTGAGTTATGTTTGCTGAAATCACTTTTACATCAATTTCACTTTGCATCTTCGGAACCCCCAACACAATTTTACAGCGAATGCAATATAGAAATATTTAATAACGCTAAAACTAGATTTGAAACCTCTTTGAAATTAAGGCGTACAGTATCCATATCTTCCAAAAATAGATCCAAAGACCTG